GAGGGGAACGTGGATAAAACGGCTGTTGTTGTTAGTGGGAGCTGTGGGGGTCATGCTGTACTTCGGCATCTTTCTGAAGAATGGACACCAACATAGCGTGGACACTAAAAACGAGATGGACACACCGCGCATGAAGACCTCGTCCAACCTGGAGGAAAGAATCAGCGATCTAAGTGAGTTCAGTCAGAATAAAGTTTCTCTTTTAGATGATTATTATTATTATTAAGATTAAATGCTACCCGTGGGTTTTATACAAGAAAGAAAGTTAAATATGGTAATAAAATTAAGCGAAATATCAATTAAATTCAGAGGCAGTTTTACATGCACATGTATTGAAGATATGACATTAAGTCAATGCCCGCCAATGATTTATTAGTAAAAAGTATAGGGGGAAAGACATTAATGAAAGCACCCTTAGTATGGTTATAAAAAGAAATAAATAGGTCTTTTGCAGTTTATTGTTGACAAATGAGATAAAATGATAACACAAGTTTATGTCCCTGTTCAATTAAAGTGTTTGTTGAGCTTGAAGAGTTTTCTTCTTCTTCGGCCATGTTCTCTTAATAATACACTCACTTGGTTGATTACTTTGCCCGTTTCTTTTATTGTTAGCAACACAGGAAGGGAATGAGATACATCATTGCTGCAGTTCGCGCCAACTGAACACACACACGGAACAGGAAGAGGAAATGAAAAAACAATCACCAAAGTAAAATCTCTTTCAAAATAAAATGATAATCAGAAAACGACAATCAGAAAAAACGTCTCTCCCAACATAAAATAAATCAATATATTTACTCATGAGAACACAAATCTAACACCCCCCCTTGTTCTCATGCTATCAACCCATAGCATCTTATGCATTTCCAAAGAACCATTTTTGAAACTTTCTGAGTCTCACTCTTGTGACTGGTTTTGTTAGTATGTCTGCAGTCATTTCTTCTGATGGACAGTATTCAATGCAGATTTTCCCTTCATTTACCGCCTCACGAATGAAGTGATATTTCACATCAATGTGTTTGGACCTCTGTCTCTTCACAGGGTTTTTACTCAAAGCAATGGCCCCTTGGTTGTCCCCAAACAGTTTCGTGCATGTGTATCTTTTCTTGTCCATGCCGTTTAACAGTTGGGTTAAATACATGCTCTCCTGAGTAGTGGTTGCAAGACCAATGTATTCAGCTTCACATGTTGAGAGTGCCACTGTAGGCTGTTTCTTTGTTTTCCAAAATATTACTGGTCCCTCTTTAGTAAGTGCACAACAGTAGCCTGTTGTACTGCGTCTGTCTTTTACAGAGGATACCCAGTCAGAGTCACCGTAAGCAATTAGATCTAGATCCTCACTGCTTTTCTTAAAGATCAGTTCAAAGTCATTTGTACCTTTCAGATACCTGAGGACTTGCTTTGCCAATACTAGGTCCTCTCTCATGGGTTGAGCTAGTGTTTGAGATAGTCTGCTAACAACCCAGCTTATATCTGGTCTCGTACACGTCATGGCATATATCAAGCTGCCCACTATTTCTCTATACTCTCTTGAGTTAACAGTCTCATTTCCATCATTTTCTCCACACGTGGTAGTATCCGTTTTTAGATCACACGGTGTGGATCTGGGTTTGCATTCAGATGTCATGTTTGCTGTTGGTGCAAATGTCTCTTGGTAGTCTATCCCTTGTGTCTGGTTGTAACCTTTTGCTACAAACCTGGTTTTGAATATTTGTCCTTGTTAATTTTCTTTGAGGGCGTAGACCCATTTTCCTCCAATGGTATTTCTACCGGTAGGTAAAGTAGTCAGTTCGAATGTGTCATTCTCTTTCAGAGGGTTGATTTCTTCTGTCATTGCCTGTTTCCACCTTGGTGCTTCTGGTGATTTCAGCGCCTCTTTATAGGTTTGGGGGATTCCACAGGTTGCTCTGTAACAGTAATCAACACTCACAGAGGTTACATTTGTTAAATCTTTGCAGTTAGATGTGTAATCCTCTAGATATTTGGGAGATTTCCTTTCTCTGTTAGGATAGCGCTCAGTTTGTTTTTGCTCATCATCCTCATGTCTTTCTATGTCAGGGTTTGGTTCATTTGTGGTGGTTTCCTCATCTCTAGGGGGTCTGTTCTCTGTTGCATTTTCGTGTTGTTGTTCTGTACTTTCTTTTGAGGGTACTACATACTCACAAGTCTGAATTTCTGAGTCATATTCATCAGTCTGTGTTTGTTGTTCAACAGTGTTCTTCTTGATAAATCTCACAAGCCTGTGTTTTGACACTTTTCCTGTGCGAGGGTTATAGACCAGGTATGCTGAGCTATTTTTACTATAACCCACAAATATTCCTTTTTCACATCTGGGATCAAGTTTCTTGTGGTTATGTGTGTATGCATAACAGTCTGATCCAAATATCCACAGTTTTGAGAGATCTGGTCTTTTCCCTGTTAACATTTGATATGGTGTACTTTTAGTCCTGTTACTGTAGCATCTGTTGCGGGTGTGAGCTGCATTTTGAACGGCGTAAGGCCATAATTCTTTTGGCAGCTCTTTTTCTAGTAAGAGACACCTCCCCATTTCAAAGAGAGTTCTCCATTGCTTCTCAGCTGTGCCATTTTGATGAGGAGAATATGGTGCAGATGTTTCATGCTTTATGCCTTTTTCCCTTAAAAGAGACTGAAAGGAACTGCTTGTGAACTCTGTGCCATTATCCGATCTAATGCACTTAACACTGCCGTATGGTGCACAGTCGGCTAGAAACTTTGCTGTGGCCTCTGTCGTGTCACTTTTTTGTTTTAGGAAGTAAACTGACACTGCCCCTGAAAAATCATCGGTAAATACTATAGCGTATTTATGACCACTTTGGCCACTTGGTTCAATAGGGCCGGCTAGGTCAGTGTGTACCAACTAATGGTTCACTCGCTTTTGGGTCGCTTTGTCTGTTTCTGTTGTTAGTGAATTTCCCTTCTGTGCACACATTACAATCTAGCATCCCACTGCCTGTGATTTTCATGCCATCTACAACATCGGGTAGTTTTAACACATCGCTAACATTACAATGTCCTAAAATTTCGTGCCATGTTTTTACATCACAAGCCAGATTAACAGTATCACAGGACATTATGTCATTGAGTGATGTTTCAATGTTTACCGTTTTCAAATAGTAGAGTCTGTTGTATTCTTCGATGGGGAAGACTGTCCCATCTTTGTTCACTAGTTCGTTCTGTCCCTTCTTGAAGATCACCTGTGCTCCATAGGTTGTAGCTGCCTTCACTGAAAATATGCTCTGAGGGTAGGATGGGATGAACAGGGCATCTCTCAGTGTGATGGTAGTACAGTGTCCTTATGTGTCTCGTAGAGAGACGTTCGCGTCTCCCCTCTTGAGTGCAACGTTGTTTGTCCTGGATCCATCAGCGAGCTCCATGTAGTGTTCCCCAGGATCAAAGGTCTCGTCGAACTTTATGAACTTATTCTTCTCCGTAATGACGTGTGAAGTCGCACCACAGTCCACCATTAGTCCTTCTCTCATTATGTCAGTAGTCAGAGGTCTTTGACTGACTTTAAATACAAAAGTCTGCTCTTCTTTCTTGCCCTCTAGTTTTACTACAGTTAGTTTTGCGTCATCTCTGTACTTGGTTTTTCTTCTACATGTCTCATCACTGTGTGTCGAGCTTCTATGGTAGTTACACCACTTAGGTGTTCCCTTTTGGCGACAATCTTTTACAAAATGTCCTTTGTTTCCACATCCATGGCAGGTGATTGATGTTAAATCAACCTTCATCACATTATCCACTTTTACTTTGTTGTCAAATTTTTCTGTTTCCTCGTAACTTCGTAGGTTGCTTTTGAACTGTGTGAATGTTAAATCTTCACTGCTTTGAGTTGTGTGGATAGCAAATGGCTTGTAAGTTTCAGGAAGCCCCTTTAGAATCATAGCGATAATAAGTCCATCACTGATGACTTCTTTTGCATTTCTTAGAGAGGTCACTGCTTTTTAAGCTCGGATAATATAATCTGTCACTGTCTCATCTGGTTTCTCCTGTAAAGACGTCAGCTCTGTGTACAGTGCGATGATTCTGGGCTTGCCTTTACTATCGTAGTGGTCACGTAGTATTCTTAAAGCTTTTCTTCCGTCGTCAGCCGCATCTCTCATTACCAGTGACAGACTTTTATCATCAAGAAACTGTATCAGTTCAGTGTAGCATTCAGCATTCTTCTCTGCATCTGGGTTAGTGACTGATAATATAGTGTCCTTTAGGCCAATGATCCGCATGTGGCCGAGAAACTTCGCCTCCCAAAGTTCGTAACTGTTTTCGTCTCCGTTGAACACTAACCTCTGCCATCTTCCTCCTGTTGTGTCACGCCTGGGCCCATAACCTGTTGAGCTTGAAGAGTTTTCTTCTTCTTCGGCCATGTTCTCTTAATAATACACTCACTTGGTTGATTACTTTGCCCGTTTCTTTTATTGTTAGCAACACAGGAAGGGAATGAGATACATCATTGCTGCAGTTCGCGCCAACTGAACACACACACGGAACGGGAAGAGGAAATGAAAAAACAATCACCAAAGTAAAATCTCTTTCAAAATAAAATGATAATCAGAAAACGACAATCAGAAAAAACGTCTCTCCCAACATAAAATAAATCAATATATTTACTCATGAGAACACAAATCTAACAGTGTTTAATACTGCAATTTTAGCTTTTGAACGTGCAGTGTATTTTTATTTATGCTTTTGTTTTTATCCTTCTGTATGCATGTAAACAGAGGTAGGAAATGTAGAAGATGAGTGCATGTATGAAAGTTACTCATTCCATTTCTTTGATCATGTTTTTTCTTACATTCTCTTTTACTGAAGACAAAGTACTCAGAGGTTTTGAGAAAAAGCAGGATATCATGCAGAAAATATTGGAAGAGGACAGAGAAAAACAAAGAAAATCAGCAGAAGTCCAACAGCCAGCAGTTCAAAAGCAAGCAGAGAAGAAGAAAGATGATGCAAATATCCAACCCCAAAATGAAGCAGATCAAATGAAAAAGTCTGAAAAACTGTTCCCTAACTCGGTCTTGTTCAAGGAGTGGGGGGCAAATCTCTCTGAAGATGACCAAAGAGAGGCTCAGAGCCTGTATGTGAAGTATGGGTACAATGTTTATCTGAGCGATCGCCTCCCTCTGGATCGACCTCTTCCAGATACCAGAGATCCTCGGTACAACTTTCATTTTTCATGATTTCAATCTTTCATTCTCTCTTCTGTACATGCAAAGAAAAAAAATCCAGACAGTTTAGTCCACTCAGTTCATTTCTTGCTCAAATATTTCAAATTTCTAAACAAATACAGTGGCATTTCATATAATCCTTTTTAATAAATAGGTGTCTGAAAAAGAGTTACCCCAAGGACCTGCCGAGTCTCAGTGTGGTGCTCATGTACCTGGATGAAGCCCTGTCTGTTCTCCAAAGAGCCCTGCGCAGCATCATCGACCGCACTCCTAAAAACCTGCTGAAGGAGATAATAATAGTGGACGACAATAGTTCTAATGGTAGGCTGGTTATAAAGAAAGAACATCTGTGACAAAAAAAAGTAATTATAGGGCATGCAGATTATTGTAAGTCAATACAGGCTGTTAACATGTTGTTTTATGTGCACGCCTCTCATTTTCCTTTCCTGTTCACATCTGCCAATTCAAACAAACCATCAAAAGTTGAGTGAAGATCATCATGTCACATGTTTGTGACTAGTTTTCTTGTTTGGACGGCTTATATACATATCTGTGAAAACTGGTGTTCACTCTGTGTTGTAGCATTTTGATGACACCCAGTTTGTGCTCCAGTGGATGATGAGAGTCAAACCTTAAATACTAATCTGTATGCGTAGGTTTACGTCAAAGACTGATTTCTAGAACAACAAAGTGACCAAGTGTTCCAAGCTTTTGCATAATTTAAAAGCTGAACATGGGTGTAGTATTTTAATTGTAAAAGACACCAAGTGCAGGTGACTTCCACTTAATACCAATATTTACCAGCTGCCATTAGGGCTGCCACGATTAGTCGACTAGTCACGATTACGTCAACTATCAAAATCGTCGATGACTAATTTAATAGTCGACACGTCGTTTGACGCTTTGTAAGATCCCAAAAGACGCAGGAATAAGTAGCAGGATTTAAGAGTGTAATAACGGACTGAAACAGAAGATGGCAGCACTGCATGTACAAGGAACCAGCTGCCGTTAAACCCCGAAGAAGAAGAAGAAGAAGAAGAAGAAGCTGTATCCCAGAATTCATAGCGCAGCCCAGCTCAGTTTCCAACAATGGCGGCAGCTAGTTAGTTTTAATATTACTCTTATTATTCTTTCTGGGTCACAAAATAAACGTTTAACATATTTTCAGGCGAGAATGTAGCTGTGTGAACCTCAAATATCTGCTCAGTTTATCAAGACACCACATATTTTCAAAAGCGCTCCGACGTTTTCGGAGATGTCTGTTACCCACTAGCTCGATAGCGAGCCGGGGGCGAGGCTAACTAGCGCCGTGAGAACACCGGACTCCCAGCAAATCGTCTTCAAACCCACCGCCGTCTTTCGCTACTCAGGTTAAACATGACATATGAGTCACTTAGATAACTTAACAATGTTATTGTTTGGCTTTTTTTAGTATTTTATTTGTTCCTGAGTAAATCTGTTTGGCTGAGATTAAAGTTGAAAAGAGATTTAAGATGCTCGAGAATTTACTCCGGTGTCCTGTTATATTTTAGATAGCAAGGAGTTTATTAAACTCCACTGAAACAATCTGCAAATTTCATTTAAATTTGATAAACTATCATCTTGTCTTTATTTTTAGTTAGCACAGACCTTAAACGCTTAAAGCTGTAAGCTAATGATAGTTATATAAGAGCAGATGCTGCTGGTGCAATAAGCTGTAGTTTTACGTCCAATGGATGATGATCTGATTAGTCGACTAATCGCAAAAATAATCGGTGACTAGTCGACTATCAGAATAATCGTTTGTGGCAGCCCCAGCTGCCATCCAGAAGTCACAATCAAGCATCATGACGTGATTGAAAAGTATTGAACAAGACATCTCACCAGCATTATAGAAAATTTATTGTGTGAAATTGTATGAACCATTTCCTTTTTTCCCCTCCTTCATGCAGGGCTGAACCTCTGCTGACACAGATTAAAGCTGACCGAACTGTGGTGGTTTCCCCGGTGTTTGATAGAGTCAACTTTGATGATCTCAAGGTTACTACATATCATCCCAGTGCACACGCCTTCGACTGGGCTCTGTGGTGCATGTATGAGAGTTTTACACCTGAGTATTACAAACTTAATGACGGTTCACTGCCTGGCAAGTAAGTTCAAGTGAAATCAGCATTTAGCCAATGCAACAGCCTTATTAACTTTATTTTTTTCAATCTAACTGGTTTATTAAATATTGTTATATCAGTATACAGCTGTAAAATATGGTTCTCTTCTTTGACTTTAGGAGTCCATCTGTCATGGGGATCCTGGTTGCTGATAGAAAGTTTCTGGGGGAAATTGGCTTGGAACATCCCATTTGAGGTGTTTTGTGGCACTGACACAAACAGCAAATGACACTTTCTTTAAGGGATATTTTATTCTTCTATTATTCTGACAACGCCACCTAGGGGAATTTCACCCCCAGGAAATATATATTTAAGAAAAATAGATAAAAGGAATAAAAAGAGGCCGCACACATTCAAGGATGCACACCGAGGCAGGTTGGCTCCAATATTAATACAGTTTTATTTATGGTTAAAATAAATGAAATATTAGAAAGCAAAATGTAGCATCGTTGTTGACAGTGTCCTAAAGTGAAAATAAAACAATCGTGGAACTTGGACTTACCAGCAGCCGTGGACCCAAAAGAAAATCACACAAAAAGAACACAAGCCGGTCTGGCTCCCCACAGGCTGAGATCGGCAACTGAGGCAGTTTAAGGTTCCCAGCACGACACTCGGGCAGAGGATCGCTCCAGCCCGATCACAGAGGCGTGGGTACAAGCAGCAATCCAGAATAAAATAAAACCAGGTGAACCAGAAAAAGGTAAGCCTACTTAATAAAAACAGTTTCACGACAAGACAAGACAAGACAGCAGGCTCCACTGAGGAGGAGCCCTCACAACAGCAGCTGGGAAGGTGTTTCACTCTTCCGATTGAGGTCGGGCAGTTTGCCACAGAGATGTGAAGGCAGCAATCAAACCCTAAAACAACAGATAAATATAACATTAGCCTCCGGTAATTGTGAATGCTAATAAAAGTAGTTTTAACGGCTTACCCCAGGACCGGAGGCGCTATACTCTCACTGGTGGAGATAACTCGAACACCCCTCTCCGCAACGCCGGGATAAAACAGAAACTACAATAAGCCACAAAAACTATATTACTACAGATTCTAGTACTCGGAAACTTTGAGGCTGTCAGAAAATATGAAATAGAATTACACAGTTGTGAAATCTTAGCAGGGTCTCGCCAAGTATATGTCTTTACTATGGTGGCATGAGTTGCACTGCATTTACCTACAACACCATACCTCATGCAGCCACACATGCACACCCTGTACAACAAATCCATTTTACTTCACATATTCTATCCCGGTGCACATAAAAGTAAAGTTCATAGGAAATATGGAAACGTCTTTGCCACGCTTTTCTGCAAAACATCTATTATGACAGTTAACGGATTATTGCTTACTTGGTTTGTTCTGTGAAGAGGTTTAAGTTTTATAAGCCTGGTTGATGATCCTGAGGGAGAGTTTGAGATGGCACTGTAGGATTAAGTGCTGGCTAGTAGACTAAGAGCCATGGAGTTGTAAGTTTGCATTTTGCAGCTTTCTTATTTTGTGGTTCATACCACCAACCTGCCTTGTTGTCAGCATCTGTAAATAAATTGCATGTTGGGTGAAGAGAATTCCTGCTTCCAGGTGTTCATCCTTCACTGAGGTGCTATTACAATAACCATCTGACCTTTCTTTTTATTTTCACACACATTTTATTGCTTTACTGTGTTCAACTTTTGGTTGAGAGAAAGAAGAGAGAAAAATAGAAATGGACAACAAGCATAATCTTATCTGTAATATTTAATGCTTCAAGGCTGTCATTTATCCTAAATGTGCTAATATTTTTACATCAATTACAACCACAGTGAATTCATGTAAAAGAAAGGAGGCTGAGTAAGTTTTACAAGCACATGAAATTTACTGTGTGTACTTTGAAACCTTTATTGTTAGCCTGATAACGGTTGTTGGCATCACCTCTGCACCTTTACGTCAGTAAAAGACTATTTAATAGCTGTGTGAGTTTTTTTTCTTTCAGAAATGTTTAAACTTTAAGATAAGCTGTATAATAAATCATATCTTGAGTTTTAAAGCCTGTTCAAACAGACACAGAAAGCTGAAATGCTGCAGAGGACATAATTACACTGTGATCCTCTGTGAGAAACCACAATGAAGCTAAACATACGAAGAGTTGGAATAATCGGATCATTTCTGTTGTCACTATACATTTTCATCATCTACACAAATAGAAGTTGTACACCCAGAAAATCTATTCCTGAGGGAGTAGCTGATCAAGAACTTTTAAAGAGAAAACTGGAGAGGATCGAACAGACTCTAAACAAACTGAGTGAGTATCAGTTTCAAAGTTCACATTCTCACACGCTGACTTCTTTTCAACATTATTGATAAAGTTACCCTTCAGTGAAATAGCTTAACCTATTATTAGCTATCACATTGTAAAAATCCACCATTCACAAGAAATGTATGTGTGTCAAAAGTAAATGTGTACTCCCAATCTCATGGCTCTCTTTTTATGAATAGTTGCTCTGTTAAGTCATGGTGGTGTTGGTTGGTGGTTGGTCTGGAGGATGTGCTTCCAGTGTAGAGCAAAATGCTATTGGGATTCTACATCGCCACCACCGCTACCATTACCTGAAAGCAGAACTGAATGAGACAGAGCAAGCCAAGACTGCTAACTATAAGGGTTGCAACCAATGAGAAATCTCCTTTCAATGCTTTTTCTTTAATGCTATTCATTGCATAAAAAAAGAATTGTCCACTAAGGTTTCCTGTGTATAGTTTTCTTGGCGAATGTTGCTGTTAAACACAGCTTGGTCCATCTCATATGGTCTTCAAGCGTATTCATCCATTTTTCATTTTTATAGACATTGCTTTACCCTGCTCATGTTTTGGTTGTTGTATTTAATCATAACAAATAAGATAAGCTAAGATAAAACTTTATTAATCCCTCGGGTGGGTTCCCCTGGGAAATTCGGTAATATAGATATAAATATGGCCATGATGAAGGTGGTGTTGTACATTTTTTTTCTTTTTCAATGTTAGGAACCCAAAGGGGGAAAGATGCATGCTAGATTTGATCTGTGTGACGAATTTTTGAAGAGCACTTGATAAGTCGAAACAATTCTGCCAATTTCTTCTTTTTTTGCCCCAACCATGAATAACAGTTTTCATCCTTCTGTTTTTTAACCTCCACAAAAGCAAAGCTAACCGAGGTTTTAGGTCAAAAGAATTTCACAAATTCCATTTTACGAAATGTGGACAAAGAAGAAGAGAAGATCGTTATGCCAAAGTTATACCCAAACTCCGTCCTGTTTACCAAGTGGGGCGATGGCCTGACAGAACAAGAGCAGAAGGAAGCTGAAGGTCTGTTTCAGATTTATGGATACAATGCCTTCCTGAGTAACCAGCTGCCACTTGACAGGAAGCTTCAAGACACAAGAGACAGCAGGTACATTTTATTAATGAGATCCATGACGGTCAAGTATTTTTAGTTATTTATTTATTTTCTGCTGCAAATTCCAATATTGTCATCCTTTGTCCTAGAAGAGCTTAAAACTATCTCACTACTCCCAAGTAAACCTCGAAAAACGGGGCTGGGCTAATGGTCTGTTTGAGCTTACTAAAACATTAATCTAATACACACCATCTCACGCCGTTTAGATGTCTGGCAAAGAAATATCCCAAGGACCTGCCAAGTCTCAGTGTGGTGCTCATCTACCTGGATGAAGCCCTGTCTGTTCTCCAAAGAGCCTTGTGCAGCATCATCGACCGCACCCCTGAAAACCTGCTGAAGGAGATAATAATGGTGGATGACCATAATTCTAATGGTAAATTGGATACAAACGATTGGTTATAAGCCAATTCAAATATATCATCAAAAGCTGAGTGAAGACTATCACATCACACATGTTTGGGACTAGTTTTCTTCTTTAGATGGTTTGAATCTGCTGGTATCACTTCCTTACCCACACTTCCTTCAGAAAAAAACATAACTATCTTTTTCCATTCAGACAATCTGAAGGGTGACCTTGACGTTTATGTGAAGTTGCTTGAGCAGGAGAACCCGAATCTCCGTATTGTGAGAGTGAGGCACAGTGAGCAGAGAGGTCTCGCTCATGCCAGAGTATCCGGGTGGAGGGCTGCTACTGCTGACGTGGTGGCCATCCTGGACGCACACATTGAAGTCCATGAGATGTGGTAGGAACATGACAGAAATACATATATTCAGTTGTTGGTTTAAGTCTTATATTTTCTGTTTTCTTTTATCATTATATTACCACATTGTGTTAAAGAACATATCAATGCTGTCTTCATGAGATTAGCTACAAGTTTACCAAATATAAATTGCCATCAGTGATTTTTTGAGGCCATGGATGTGTCAAAGTTTCACGACAGATTTGCTGAGAGTAATACGTTTTTCTTTCTCACATACAAACACTTTACATGTCTGGTGATCTGGTCCTCCTTTCCCCACATCCCCACGGTCTGCCAGCCAGACTGTGACACATAATTCCAGTTTATACCAGTTGCCATAGTCATGCTGCATAGTGTGATTGAAGAGTGTTGACCCAGACATGTCAGCAATTAATGAAATGTACACATTAGTTGACTAACTTTTCCACCTTTTCTTTGTTCCCCTCCTTCATGCAGGGCTGAACCTCTGCTGACACAGATTAAAGCTGACCGAACTGTGGTGGTTTCCCCGGTGTTTGATAGAGTCAACTTTGATGATCTCAAGGTTACTACATATCATCCCAGTGCACACGCCTTCGACTGGGCTCTGTGGTGCATGTATGAGAGTTTTACACCTGAGTATTACAAACTTAATGATGGTTCACTGCCTGGCAAGTAAGTTCAAGTGAAATCAATGTTTAACAATATAACAGCCATATTAACTCTATCATTATGATCTAATATCAATGTACAATAGTTAAAATGGAGTTCTCTTCTTTGACTTTAGGAGTCCATCTGTCATGGGGATCATGGTTGCTGATAGAAAGTTTCTGGGGGAAATTGGAGTCGTTGATGAAGGAATGAAAGTGTATGGTGGAGAAAATGTTGAGCTGGGAATTCGTGTGAGTAAAGACCACATGGTTATAAATTCTCTTTCATAGTAAAGCAAACATAAGTGTCTTTGCCATCAGATTATATAGAATATTTGTGCAGATGGACCTTCTGGATTTTGTTATAATCACCACAGGTGTCCGAATCTGCAGATCATTTAAAATGGCTATAAACATACCATAGAAACTGAAGGTGCAGGTAGCAAGTAAATGAATTGCATTATGTAATACAAACAAGGAGATGAGGTCCAAAGTTATATCTTAGCCATGGAAAGAATAGTGACTGAGTTTTATTGTGCTTTTTTTTTCATGTAGGTATGGACATGTGGAGGCAGTGTTGAAGTTGTTCCATGTTCCAAGATCGCCCACATCGAGAGGGCCCACAAGCCCTACATGCCTGACCTGGGTCCTGCCATGAAGAGAAATGCCCTCAGAGTTGCAGAGATCTGGATGGATGAATACAAGCACAACGTTAACTTGGCTTGGAACATCCCATTTGAGGTGTTTTGTGGCACTGACACAAACAGCAAATTATGTTTTCTCTAAAGGATATTTCATTCTCCTGTTCATAGAGTCATGAGGAGATGAGTTATGGGTACATATTAGGCTTTGAGTGCTCTTTGTGTGTTTGAGTTTTAGCTTTTTTTGCATTGACATTTAAGGAAAATCTTTCTTCAGATTCTTCCTCAGTCACAATCTGTGAATCGATTCACATCTTCTTCTTAGTTCCTGCAGAATCATAGAATTGACACAGGCGACATTTCAGAGAGGAAGAAACTTTGTGGCATGTTGTTTGTGGCACTGACACAAACAGCAAATGACACTTTCTTTAAGGGATATTTCATTTGTTTACTTACATGACGCAAAAAAACATTGGTTAATTAACAACTTTATGAGACTTTGAGTGCTCTTAGCTTTTTCTACATTGACATTCAAAGGAAACCTCTCTTTAGATTCTTCCTCAGTCACATGAAACTATAAGCTGATTAACACCTTATTTTGCTTTTTGCAGAATCATGGAATTGACATAGGCGACATTTCAGAGAGGAAGAAACTCAGAGAAAGGCTGAACTATAAACCTTTCAAATGGTACCTGGATAATGTGTATCCTAAGCTGGATCCCTGGGACGACCTCCTCGCATACGGAGGAGTACGTTTACTTTTCTCTGATGCTTAGTATGTTTGGTACAGAGAGGTCCTGCACAATGTGTGGGAATCTGTGTTTGATGATTTGCCTGTTTCCATTTGTAATATTCATAATGTTCTCCTGATGACAGATGAAGAACCTTGATGCTGACATGTGCCTAGACCAAGGTCCAGTACCAGGTCACACACCGATAGCCTACAATTGCTACTACTATGGACCTCAAGTAAGTGAAGCACCTTATAATTATGTTGATAATCATGATTATAAGGCAGTGCAGTTGTAAAAAACAAAAATCAAAACGAAAAACACTATAAATTGATTAAATCTTTTAACGCATACTGTATCATATTTGATACAAATTTGGGAGTTTTTCAGACTCCCCCCCTCCCCCCCAAACAACCTCAACAAATTGCACAACACAAGTTTAAGCAAAAAATGAAGAAAAAATAAATTTGGAACTCATATTTTTAAAATTTTTAATGGTAAACACTCTATTTTCTATTTTCAAAACCTTTCTTGCAATTATTTCATGGTTCAAGCTTTAAAGGGTTACAACTGAGTAATTTTGTCTTTAAGCTTGTCTCTTTGTTAAGCTCAGGATTGTTGACAGTGCAGCTGGTATTTTTAGATCGCACCCAGGATGTCTCTTTCAAAACACAAGCATTTGTGCGTGCAATTCCATCTGAAATGAATGTCACAGTCCACAGAGATCGAAGAAGTTAATTATTGTTCCTTATTGTCTGTTGTTAGCATTTTTAACATCCTAATATCATTTTGCCCTCTGTATCTCTCTGTCTCTTTCTCTTTCTTCCTTTCTAAGTTCACATATTATCGTGGAACGGGTGAGCTCTACATTGGTGGCATGAAGTCACATAAGTACAATGACAACCGATGTTTAGCTGACACGGGCACAAAAGAAACTGAGCCTGGCCTGTACAACTGTAAAGAGGCTATGCAGAAAGGAATGGGGATATACTGGGACTTCACTCAGGTACTACAAAGTTGTTTGCTGCATCTCAGAACAGGTTGAATGAGCACTGTTAGTCTTAAAACTGAACAAACTAGCTGCCTTTTTTTTAACACTTTGCTTTCTTTCCCAGGGCGAAGAACTGAAGAACAGACAGACAAAGAGATACCTGGAAATTATAAACCAGAAACTTCTATTACAGGAATGTACAGGTCAAAGATAGCAAAATCAAAACACAATCAAACCCTTTGAAAGTGTGGTTGAGCTCTGCTCATTGGGCAGTGGATAAGTTACACCTGGGTGCTCTATTGAGAACAATACATTTACTTTTGCTTCCAATACTTTTAATGTGAGTGTGTGTGTATTACAGATTTTAAAGCCAAGATATTTGTAAAAATACCTTAGATATTAAATAGGTTTTGTATCAAAGATTTTCAGTCTAGAGTAGCACAACAAACTTTGAGTCTTTTCAACATTCAAGACAAAGTTAAACAGTTGTGAAATCCTAGCAGGGTGTTGCCAATTATATGTCTGTACAAGAGTTGACATGAATTGCAGCAAATCCATGTTCACATATTCTGTCCCAGTAAAACTCATGCTTGGTAATTGCAGTTTTAAAGTGATGCTTTACTTATTAAGTTTCAGCTACAATGGAGACCATAAAATAATATCTTTTAATAACACATTTGCTCTGTCTGTTAAAAGTTTGAAGGACTTGAGTTTCCAGTATTTTAACGGTAGTTACCATAGCAAAATCTATAATTCATATCTGTCCTTGTGATGGCCAAACCCGTGGCCACACTCTAAAGTCGGTAACTTTTGTATTTTCTTTCTTCATTTGAACATAGTAATACATTTTAGTTTCCAATAACTTTATTGATTGGTTTGGATACATTTGTTCTATTTGTAAGTTTACTTATGTATTCATACTTCATTTCTTTGCTTTCTGACTAACCTTTGTCTTTTTATTTCTTACCTGCCATAATCCCTGGGAGTTGCTGGACAAAAGATGGTAGCCAGGGTTTGAAACCATTAAATGAAAAGAAGATAATTGGACCACACCACCACTTCCTGCTGAAGGGGAGAATGGGTGTTTTCTTTACTTTAAAAACAAAGTATTTGTATTTAATTAAATATTTGAGTTTAGGGTTTAATGGGGTTTTTGATTTTCTTCTTTAGTGTTTAGTTTATTAGCAAACTAGGTTGTACTGCATCGTTTGTGATTTATGATTGTGTTTTGTTTGTTACCCCTCATGTGTCACAATGGTCTGATCAGCCATTATACAGGGAGTGCAGAATTATTAGGCAAATGAGTATTGTGTCCACATCATCCTCTTCATGCATGTTGTCTTACTACAAGCTGTATAGGCTCGAAAGCCTACTATCAATTAAGCATATTAGGTGATGTGCATCTCTGTAATGAGAAGGGGTGTGGTCTAATGACATCAACACCCTATATCAGGTGTGCATAATTATTAGGCAACGTCCTTTCCTTTGGCAAAATGGGTGAAAAGAAGGACTTGACAGGCTCAGAAAAGTCAAAAATAGTGAGATATCTTGCAGAGGGATGCAGCAGTCTCAAAATTGCAAAGCTTCTGAAGCGTGATCATCGAACAATCAAGCGTTTCATTCAAAATAGTCAACAGGGTCGCAAGAAGCGTGTGGAAAAACCAAGGCGCAAAATAACTGCCCATGAACTGAGAAAAGTCAAGCGTGCAGCTGCCAAGATGCCACTTGCCACCAGTTTGGCCATATTTCAGAGCTGCAACATCACTGGAGTGCCCAAAAGCACAAGGTGTGCAATACTCAGAGACATGGCCAAGGTAAGAAAGGCTGAAAGACGACCACCACTGAACAAGACACACAAGCCGAAACGTCAAGACTGGGCCAAGAAATATCTCAAGACTGGTTTTTCTAAGGTTTTATGGACTGATGAAATGAGAGTGAGTCTTGATGGGCCAGATGGATGGGCCCGTGGCTGGATTGGTAAAGGGCAGAGAGCTCCAGTCCGACTCAGACGGCAGCAAGGTGGAGGTGGAGTACTGGTTTGGGCTGGTATCATCAAAGATGAGCTTGTGGGGCCTTTTCGGGTTGAGGATGGAGTCAAGCTCAACTCCCAGTCCTACTGCCAGTTTCTGGAAGACACCTTCTTCAAGCAGTGGTACAGGAAGAAGTCTGCATCCTTCAAGAAAAACATGATTTTCATGCAGGACAATGCTCCATCACACGCGTCCAAGTACTCCACAGCGTGGCTGGCAAGAAAGGGTATAAAAGAAGAAAAACTAATGACATGGCCACCTTGTTCATCTGATCTGAACCCCATTGAGAACCTGTGGTCCATCATCAAATGTGAGATTTACAAGGAGGGAAAACAGTACACCTCTCTGAACAGTGTCTGGGAGGCTGTGGTTGCTGCTGCACGCAATGTTGATGGTGAACAGATCAAAACACTGACAGAATCCATGGATGGCAGGCTTTTGAGTGTCCTTGCAAAGAAAGGTGGCTATATTGGTCGCTGATTTGTTTTTGTTTTGTTTTTGAATGTCAGAAATGTATATTTGTGAATGTGGAGATGTTATATTGGTTTCACTGGTAAAAATAAATAATTGAAATGGGTATATATTTGTTTTTTGTTAAGTTGCCTAATAATTATGCACAGTAATAGTCACCTGCACACACAGATATCCCCCTAAAATAGCTCAAACTAAAAACTACTTCCAAAAACATTCAGCTTTGATATTAATGAGTTTTTTGGGTTCATTGAGAACATGGTTGTTGTTCAATAATAAAATTATTCCTCAAAAATACAACTTGCCTAATAATTCTGCACTCCCTGTATATACCCTTGTATGTCATTTCATGTTTAGGTCAATTATGTATGTTTGTAGCAGTCATTTGGTTTGTTACGTTTGCAGTCTTTGCCTGAGTTCAGTTTTGTTTCTTTGACCTCTTTTATGAGCTCAACATTTATTATTCTTGTAAATATAATTTTTGGGGGTTAAATAAATGGAAACTATATTTTTCTAATAATTCCTGGGACTCCTTTTTTTCAACTCGGTCCATCACAGTCCTGTTGGCACTAGTGGGTAGTTAAAAGATTTTGAAATGTATTTTATAGATCTTATGTCTGTTATGTTACTAATGAAAAATAAATGTGGTAAAGACCTATGAAGGAATATCATTCAACTGAAATATAATATAATTTAAATATTTAATTTAAACATGACTAACATCAGGATGCATGCCTAAAAGGGAACAGATATCTGACTATTTTGTAGAGTTCTCTGGAATGTAGTGCATCATAATGAAAAACTAATACAAACACACAGTCCTGAATAAAACTGCTCATTTATTTTTTCCTAATGCTTCAGTGTAACTGATTCCCATTACTTTTAAGCAGATCCCATTCTGTTAAAGGTGCTCCATTACACTGTTCATACCGACTCCACATTGCCTGTTTCAATTTTAAATCAAAAACTTTCTACATTAGACAGACAACATTCCCCCCTCCGTGAATCGCTACCTTCTGTGTCCCAGGGATCCCAAGGGCTATATTGTCGGGGGGAGGGGGGGGGGGGCTTTTGCCCCCTGGTAGGGTCTCCCATGGCAAATTGGTCCTGGGTGAGAGACCAGACAAACAGCAATTCAAAAGACCCGTATGATTATACAATTAAGGGAACAGTTTACCCTGCCCAGGATAGGGTGACCGGGGCCCCGCCCAGGAGACAGGCCTGAGGAGGGTGCCCGACGGCAAGCGTCTGGTGGCCGGGTCTTTGTTCCCCGTTGGGCACAGACTGGACATGGGCCCATCCTCCTTTAGGTCCACCACCCGCAGGAGCTGCCATAGGGGTTGGGTACAATGTGTGTCATGCAGCTGCCAGGAGCAGGGGCTCTGGTGGACCGATCTCCGTCTAACAAGACTCACAATTGGGATATGGAATTTCACATCTCTGGTGGGGACGGAGCCTGAGTTAGTGCATGAGGTTGAGAGGTGCCAGCTAGATATACAGGGAGTGCAGAATTATTAGGCAAGTTGTATTTTTGAGGAATACCACTGCTTGTAGAAGGTGTCTTCCAGGAACTGGCAGTAGGACTGGGAGTTGAGCTTGACTCCATCCTCAACCCGAAAAGGCCCCACAAGCTCATCTTTGATGATACCAGCCCAAACCAGTACTCCACCTCCACCTTGCTGCCGTCTGAGTCGGACTGGAGCTCTCTGCCCTTTACCAATCCAGCCACGGGCCCATCCATCTGGCCCATCAAGACTCACTCTCATTTCATCAGTCCATAAAACCTTAGAAAAACCAGTCTTGAGATATTTCTTGGCCCAGTCTTGACGTTTCAGCTTGTGTGTCTTGTTCAGTGGTGGTCGTCTTTCAGCCTTTCTTACCTTGGCCATGTCTCTGAGTATTGCACACCTTGTGCTTTTGGGCACTCCAGTGATGTTGCAGCTCTGAAATATGGCCAAACTGGTGGCAAGTGGCATCTTGGCAGCTGCACGCTTGACTTTTCTCAGTTCATGGGCAGTTATTTTGCGCCTTGGTTTTTCCACACGCCGTGGCGACCCTGTTGACTATTTTGAATGAAACGCTTGATTGTTCGATGATCACGCTTCAGAAGCTTTGCAATTTTGAGACTGCTGCATCCCTCTGCAAGATATCTCACTATTTTTGACTTTTCTGAGCCTGTCAAGTCCTTCTTTTCACCCATTTTGCCAAAGGAAAGGACGTTGCCTAATAATTATGCACACCTGATATAGGGTGTTGATGTCATTAGACCACACCCCTTCTCATTACAGAGATGCACATCACCTAATATGCTTAATTGGTAGTAGGCTTTCGAGCCTATACAACTTGGAGTAAGACAACATGCGTGAAGAGGATGATGTGGACAAAATACTCATTTGCCTAATAATTCTGCACTCCCTGTAGTCGAGCTCACCTCAACGCACAGCTTGGGCTCTGGAACCAGTCTCCTGTAGAGAGGCTGGACTCTGTCTCAGTCTGGAGTTGCTATTGGTGAGATGCGGAAGACAGGGGTATCTCCTTGGCTTGCTGCCTGTCCTTTGTGGTTTCTCCTGGTGGACGAGAGGGTTTGTTCCCTGCAACTTTGAATCGGGGAAAAGGTCGTCTGTGCTTTGCCCTTATATGGGCAATGACAGTGAGACCTGGAGGGGCGTGATTGGGAGGAAAGGCCTACCGGATCTGATCCAAAGTGGTGTTT